TTTTGTTTTAAAGTCTTGTTTTAAAGTCTTGTTTTAAAGTTTCGTTTTAAAGTTTCGTTTTAAAGTTTGTTTTAAAGTTTTGTTTTAAAGTTTTGTTTAAAATTTTTGTTTTAAAGTTTCGTTTTAAAGTTTCGTTTTAAAGTTTTGTTTTAAAGTTTCGTTTAAAATTTAGTTTTAAAGTTTTGATTTTAAAGTTTCGTTTTAAAGTTTCATTTTAAAGTTTTGTTTTAAAGTTTCGTTTAAAATTTTGTTTTAAAGTTTCGTTTTAAAGTTTCATTTTAAAGTTTTGTTTTAAAGTTTTGTTTTAAAGTTTCGTTTTAAAGTTTTGTTTTAAAGTCTTGTTTTAAAGTCTTGTTTTAAAAGTCTTGTTTAAAGTTTTGTTTTAAAGTCTTGTTTTAAAGTTTCGTTTTTAAAGTTTTGTTTTAAAGTTTTGTTTTTAAGTTTTGTTTTAAAATTTTGTTTAAAAGTTTCGTTTTAAAGTTTCGTTTTAAAGTTTCGTTTTAAAGTTTCGTTTTAAAGTTTTGTTTTAAAGTTTTGTTTTAAAGTTTTGTTTTAAAGTTTTGTTTTAAAGTTTCGTTTTAAAGTTTCGTTTTAAAGTTTCATTTTAAAGTTTTGTTTTAAAGTTTTGTTTTAAAGTTTCGTTTAAAATTTTGTTTTAAAGTTTCGTTTTAAAGTTTTGTTTTTTTTTTAAAGTTTTGTTTTTTTTTAAAGTTTTGTTTTAAAGTTTCGTTTTAAAGTTTCGTTTTAAAGTTTTTTTAAAGTTTTTTTAAAGTTTTTTTTAAAGTTTTTGTTTAAAGTCTTGTTTTAAAGTTTTGTTTTAAAGTTTGTTTTAAAGTTTTGTTTTTAAAGTTTTGTTAAAGTTTAAAGTTTTGTTTTAAAGTCTTGTTTTAAAGTTTTTTAAAGTTTTTGTTTTTGTTTTTTTAAAGTCTTGTTTAAAGTTTTGTTTTAAAGTCTTGTTTTAAAGTTTTGTTTTAAAGTCTTGTTTTAAAGTCTTGTTTTAAAGTTTTGTTTTAAAGTCTTGTTTTAAAGTTTTGTTTTAAAGTCTTGTTTTAAAGTTTTGTTTTAAAGTCTTGTTTTAAAGTTTTGTTTTAAAGTCTTGTTTTAAAGTCTTGTTTTAAAGTTTTGTTTTAAAGTCTTGTTTTAAAGTTTTTTTAAAGTTTTAAAGTTTGTTTTAAAGTTTGTTTTAAAGTTTTGTTTTAAAGTCTTGTTTTAAAGTCTTGTTTTTAAAAAGTCTTGTTTTAAAGTTTTTTTAAAGTTTTTTTAAAGTCTTGTTTTAAAGTCTTGTTTTAAAGTCTTGTTTTAAAGTCTTGTTTTAAAGTCTTGTTTTAAAGTCTTGTTTTAAAGTCTTGTTTTAAAGTCTTGTTTTAAAAGTCTTGTTTTTAAAGTCTTTGTTTTAAAGTCTTGTTTTAAAGTCTCTTTGTTTTAAAGTCTTGTTTTAAAGTCTTGTTTAAAAGTCTTGTTTTTAAAGTCTTGTTTTAAAGTTTTTTTTTAAAGTCTTGTTTTAAAGTCTTGTTTTAAAGTCTTGTTTTAAAGTCTTGTTTTAAAGTTTTGTTTTAAAGTCTTGTTTTAAAGTCTTGTTTTAAAGTCTTGTTTTAAAGTTTTGTTTTAAAGTCTTGTTTTAAAGTCTTGTTTTAAAGTTTTGTTTTAAAGTCTTGTTTTAAAGTCTTGTTTTAAAGTCTTGTTTTAAAGTCTTGTTTTAAAGTCTTGTTTTAAAGTTTTGTTTTAAAGTCTTGTTTTAAAGTCTTGTTTTAAAGTCTTGTTTTAAAGTCTTGTTTTAAAGTCTTGTTTTAAAGTCTTGTTTTAAAGTCTCTTGGAGCGTGTGGAGGAGTTTTCTCTCTCAGCGTCTCGTCTCTGGAGTTTGACGTCCACACACACAGAACTGACTGGGTAAAAAGTGTTTGAATCCCGTCGGCCTGTTTATATTTGTATTTATTTATATTTGTATTTATTTATATTTGTATTTATTTATATTTTTATTTATTTGAATTGAATCTCTCCCAGATGAAGCGTGTGAAGCTGAAGACTCCATCAGCTGCGACGTCCAGGAGCCTCCAACCTGCAGCTCGTCCAAACATCTCGTCTACGATCTGAACTTAAAAACTTGACTAAAAATGTGATGAAGTGTTTTTGTAAATGTTTAATTCTGACTCACACAAACACAAACTGAACTCTTCCTCATCTGAACCTTTCATATCCTCAGGTTCTTCTCATCTTTAAAACCAGCAGCGGTTTAGTCCAAATTTAGTCTCGGTTTAGTCCCAGTTTTGTTCCGGTTTAGTCCTGGTTTTCTCCTGGTTTAGTCCTATTTTTAATCCCGGTTTTGTCTTGGGTTAGTCCCGGTTTAGTCCCGGTTTAGTCCCAGTTTAGTCCCGGTTTTGTCCCAGTTTAGTCCCGGTTTTGTCTTGGTTTAGTCCTGGTTTTGTGTCGGTTTAGCCCTGGTTTAGTCCCAATTTAGTCCCAGTTTAGTCCTGGTTTAGTCCAGTTTTGTTCCAGTTTAGTCCCAGTTTTGGTTTTAGTCCTTTTGTCCCAGTTTAGTCCCAGTTTAGTCGGTTTTGTCCCCCCTCCAGTTTAGTCCTGGTTTTGTCCCAGTTTTAGTCCAGTTTTTGTCTCGGTTTTTGTCCAGTTTAGTCCTGGTTTAGTCCTGGTTTAGTCCCAGTTTAGTCCTGGTTTAGTCCCAGTTTATTCCTGGTTTTGTCCCAGTTTAGTCTCAGTTTTGTCTCGGTTTTTTAGTCCTGTTTTGTCCCAGTTTAGTTTAGTCCAGTTTAGTCCTGGTTTAGTTTGTCGTTTCGGTTTCTTGTCCCGGTTTAGTTTAGATTTAGTCCCAGTTTTTGTTCCCAGGTTTAGTCCGGTTTAGTCCCAATTTAGTCCCAGTTTAGTCCTGGTTTAGTCCCAGTTTATTCCTGGTTTTGTCTCGGTTTAGTCCAGTTTTGTCCCAGTTTAGTCCCAGTTTAGTCCCGGTTTAGTCCCAGTTTATTCCTTTTTTGTAAATGTTTAATTCTGACTCACACTTTACACAAACTGAACTCTTCCTCATCTGAACCTTTCATATCCTCAGATCCTGCAGCTCATCAGAAGAAGAAGGTTGGAGACTCTGGTGTTAAACTGACAAACTCCATCAACATATTTGTGGAGCAGTGACTCTCTCTGTGCTCTGCTTGTTCCTCAGTGTTTTTGGAGCAATAATAACGTCATCATCTCCATGGAGACGAGAAACCCTCTGTGAGAAGTTCCATAATGCTCCTTTAAACTAAACCCCTGGCAGATGTTGAAGTTCTGACCTTCACGTAGGATTTCTCGGTGTCCAGAAGCTCCTCCACCACTTTCCTGATTCGCTGACAGACGCTGAGGTGGGAGGGGCTGCAGCTGGAGTGGGCGGGGCTGGGAGGGGTGTGGGAGGGGCTGGGGGTGCGACGCTCCGCCTCTTTAGGGTCGTACGGGTTTTTGGGGACGTCCGGGTCGGCCGCTCGGCATTCTGGGAAAATCTGGTACAAGGAGTTGATTCTGTCGGAGCTCTGCAGACGAGAAGGTCAAAAAGACACAGACGACAGTCAGCTTCTAGTACTACGTTTAGTCCTGGTTTAGACCTGGTTTAGTCCTGGTTTAGTCCTGGTTTAGTCCTGGTTTAGATCTGGTTTAGTCCGGTTTAGTCCTGGTTTAGTCCCAGTTTAGTCCTGGTTTTAGTCCTTTAGTCCTGTTTAGTCCTGGTTTAGTCCTGGTTTAGTCCTGGTTTAGTCCCTGTTTAGTCCTGGTTTAGTCCTGGTTTAGTCCTGGTTTAGTCCTGGTTTAGTCCTGGTTTAGTCCTGGTTTAGTCCTGGTTTAGTCCTGGTTTAGTCCCTGGTTTAGTTTAGTCCTGGTTTAGTCCTGGTTTAGTCCCGGTTTAGTCCTGGTTTAGTCCTGGTTTAGTCCTTTTAAGTCCTGGTTTAGTCCTGGTTTAGTCCTGGTTTAGTCCTGTTTAGTCCTGGTTTAGTCCTGGTTTTAGTCCCAGTTTAGTCCTGGTTTAGTTTTTTAGTCTGGTCCTGGTTTAGTCCTGGTTTAGTCCTGGTTTAGTCCTGGTCTAGTCCTGGTTTAGTCCTGGTTTAGTCCTGGTTTAGTCCCGGTTTAGTCCTGGTTTTGTCCCAGTTTAGTCCCAATTTTGTCTCGGTTTTGTCCCAGTTTAGTCCCGATTTAGTCCTGGTTTAGTCCCAGTTTAGTCCCGGTTTTGTCCCAGTTTAGTCCCGATTTAGTCCTGGTTTTGTCCTGGTTTAGTCCCAGTTTTTGTCCTAGTTTAGTCCCGATTTTGTCCCGGTTTTGTCCCAGTTTAGTCTAATTTTTGTCCCGGTTTAGTCCTGGTTTTCTCCTGTTTTAATCCTGTTTTAGACCTGGTTCAGTCCTGGTTTAGTCCTGGTCTAGTCCTGGTTTAGTCCTGGTTTAGTCCTGGTTTAGTCCTGGTCTAGTCCTGTTTTAGTCCTGGTTTAGTCCTGGTTTAGTCCTGGTTTAGTCCTGTTTTAGTCCTGGTTTAGTCCTGGTTTTAGTCCTGGTTTAGTCCTAGTCCTGGTTTCCTGGTTTAGTCCTGTTTTAGTCCTGGTTTAGTCCTGTTTTAGTCCTGGTTAGTCCTGGGTCCTAGTCCTGGTCTAGTCCTGGTTTAGTCCTGGTTTAGTCCTGGTCTAGTCCTGGTCTAGTCCTGTTTTCCTGGTTTAGTCCTGGTTTAGTCCTGGTTTAGTCCTGGTCAGTCCTGGTTTAGTCCTGGTTTTAGTCCTGGTTTAGTCCTGGTTTAGTCCTGGTTTAGTCCTGTTTTCCTGTTTGTTTTGTCCTGGTCCTGGTCTAGTCCTGGTTTAGACCTGGTTTAGTCCTGGTTTAGTCCTGGTCTAGTCCTGTTTTAGTCCTGGTTTAGTCCTGGTTTTAGTCCTGTTTTTAGTCCTGGTTTAGTCCTGTTTAGTCCTGGTTAGTCCTGGTTTAGTTCCTGGTTTAGTCCTGGTTTAGTCCTGGTCTAGTCCTGGTTTAGTCCTGGTTTTAGTCCTGGTTTAGTCCTGGTTTAGTCCTGGTTTAGTCCTGGTCCTAGTCCTGGTCTAGTCCTGGTTTAGTCCTGGTTTAGTCCTGGTTTAGTCCTGGTCTGGTTAGTCCTGGTTTAGTCCTGGTTTAGTCGTGATTTAGTCCTGGTTTAGTCCCTAGTTTAGTCCTGGTTTAGTCCTGTCTAGTCCTGTTTTAAGTCCTGGTTTAGTCCTGGTTAGTCCTGGTTTAGTCCTGTTTTAGTCCTGGTTTAGTCCTGGTTTAGTCCTGGTTTAGTCCTGGTCCTAGTCCTGGTTTAGTCCTGGTTTAGTCCTGGTTTAGTCCTGGTTTAGTCCTGGTTTTAGTCCTGGTTTAGTCCTGGTCTAGTCCTGTTTTAGTCCTGGTTTAGTCCTGGTTTAGTCCTGGTTTAGTCCTGGTTTAGTCCTGGTTTTAGTCCTGGTTTAGTCCTGTTTTAGTCCTGGTTTAGTCCTGGTTTAGTCCTGGTTTTAGTCCTGGTTTAGTCCTGGTTTAGTCCTGTTTTAGTCCTGGTTTAGTCCTGGTTTAGTCCTGGTTTAGTCCTGGTTTAGTCCTGGTTTAGTCCTGGTCTAGTCCTGGTTTAGTCCTGGTTTAGTCCTGGTTTAGTCCTGGTTTAGTCCTGGTCTAGTCCTGGTCTAGTCCTGTTTTAGTCCTGGTTTAGTCCTGGTTTAGTCCTGTTTTAGTCCTGGTTTAGTCCTGGTCTAGTCCTGGTTTAGTCCTGGTCTAGTCCTGGTTTAGTCCTGGTTTTATCCTGGTTTAGTCCTGGTCCTAGTAGTCCTGGTTTAGTCCTGGTTTTAGTCTGGTTTAGTCCTGGTTCCTGTCCTGGTCTAGTCCTGGTCTAGTCCTGGTTTAGTCCTGGTTTAGTCCTGGTTTAGTTCTAGTACCATGATCACAGAGTTAGTTCCTCGTCTCAGGCAGCAGTGAGTTTCCTCCAGAAAATCTCTCAGTCGAGGACTCATCTTCACCTCCTCCTCCCTGTCTCCTCCCTCCTTGTCTCCTCTCCTCTCCCTGTCTCCTTTCCTCTCCTTGTCTCCTTTCCTCTCCCTGTCTCCTGCCTCCTTCTCGTCTCCTCTCTCCTCGTCCTCGTGAGGCAGGACCCAGCACAGCGCGCCCAGGGTCAGGGGTCGTTTCCGGGACAACGGCACGGAAAAGGAAGTCTGCACGAACATTCCGGCCGCATCCAGACTCTGCTCGCGGATGATCTCGCTCCGACCAAACCGAGTCTCCGGGGAGGACGACCGAACCGGAGCCAAGTCACGGAGAAATCAGCAGGAAGTGGAAAACCCCAAAAAACTCAGTGAAGAAGAATTAAAGATCGAACGTCCCAGACTTCAGAACTCTTCACGAACACGTCGATCTTCTCGCTTCGATCTTCTCGCTTCGATCTTCTCGATCTTCTCGCGTCACCTCAGGGTCCTGGTCCTCGACGTCACTGAAGCTTCTGTTCATTTTACAAACCGAGTCTTAAAGTCCTTGACAAAAAACCCAAACACCGACACCACTGAGACATTTTAAAGAAACTGAACTTATTGAACCAGTTTTAATCATCTTCAATTATTTCTGAGGTGTTTTTTTGAAGAGTCTTAACTGGTGATTGTGTCGTTCCAGAGCACAGGACTCGAGCCCAAGAGAAAAACAACTAAATATTTTATCAGAAGTGTCTTTCATTCACATGGTGACGGCGTTTTTGGGGCTTAAAAATGCAAAAATCTGAAAGAGTCTGAGCAAAGAGAAGTTCAGTCTGAGGAGAGGTTCTGGATGAAGTGTCTTTCGTTTATACGGTGACAGAGTTTTTGGGACTTAAAAACACAAAAATCTGAACCCACCTCCAGAGTGTAAAAGCTGAACACTGCCCAAGACACAAAACTCTGGTCACATGTGCTCAGGTCGTGTATGTGTATGTGTTTATTCCACACACTTTTACGTCACCGTGTGCAGCAGATTTCATCTAAATGTGGAATAAAAAGTGGAAACGCGACACCACTTTTACGTCTTCTGTCGTATAAACACAGTTTCCAGCCGATTAAAAACTGGAAACTAATAACAATAAATTTAAATGTAAATTAAAATTCTTGTCTGTTTCCAAACAAAAAATGCTCTCGGTGAAAATGTAACACTGCTGAATATTTCTTATGTGTCCAACTAATGTGTCTTGTCTGTTTTTTTGCAGGGGTTTTATTTTTTTTACATACAGGTTTTGGAAACTGACACTCAGAGGCGGAGCTACAATTAGGCAAAAGCAGACAGCTGCTTGGGCCCCAAACCTGCAGGGGCCCCAAACTATTACTGTCAGTGCCACTAATGCCCCAGAGTAATTAGATTTACTTTCAATATAACATTAAATTAGGATTAGTATTTTAGTTTTTAACAATAATCATAAGAAAAATAAATAATCATATGTAATGGATGTAAACAAAAATATAATTGTAGTAGTAAAAAAAATAAAAAATGAAACTACTTTCAGTTCTGGTTCCGGTGCTTTATCGTCAGGCCCCAAAACTGCAGACTCCACCTCTGCTGGAACTTTCTGTCAAACACTAAAACATCAGGTTTGTCTAAAGTGATTCTGACGTCCTTAATAAAAATAAATAAATTAAAAAAGTTCTATTCTGAGACACAGACACAGGAATCTAAAATTTAACTTTGCAAATTTACAAAAATCATTTCTGCAGCTCACATTTTCAAATCTCAGAATCTGTTTTGAAATCAGGCATCGATTTCTTTTTGTGTCTTGGAAAATGTTTATGCGAAATTCCAACCCAACGGCGCCACAATTTTAAGAAATTTAACAAAAATCGCAAATAGAAATTTCAAAACGATGGAATTATTTTGGTAATTCAACGTCCTTTTTGAGATCTAAACCTCCCAGTGTCTCCACCAGGTTTTGATTCTGGGTAAAATCTGCTGCAAACATGTTCCGGAACAGTCCTGGAACGCTCCTGGAACAGTCCTGGAACGCTCCTGGAACGCTCCTGGAACCCTCCTGGAACGCTCCTGGAACCCTCCTGGAACGCTCCTGGAACGCTCCTGGAACACTCCTGGAACGCTCCTGGAACAGTCCTGGAACGCTCCTGGAACAGTCCTGGAACGCTCCTGGAACAGTCCTGGAACGCTCCTGGAACAGTCCTGGAACGCTCCTGGAACGCTCCTGGAACGCTCCTGGAACACTCCTGGAACGCTCCTGGAACGCTCCTGGAACAGTCCTGGAACACTCCTGGAACGCTCCTGGAACGCTCCTGGAACAGTCCTGGAACACTCCTGGAACACTCCTGGAACGCTCCTGGGAATCTCGGGATGAATTTAAAGTTCAGATTTCAGTCTCTGGATGAGTTTAAAATGTGAAATTTGGTTGTGAAATTGTGAAAAATGTGAAATTCCGTAGATTTCCCGTAAATTCTTCTTCTGTCTGGTCAGAATGTGAGTCCGTGTTCTTCTCGTAGATCGGCAAAGCTCCATTCTAAGATTTTAAACTCCCAAAACGCACAATTTTGAGTTTTCCGTGTTATTCCCTCTTTTCATTTCATCCCAAACCTGGAATCTTCTCGTTCCTTGTGGGTTTTTTGTTGTTTTTTTTCAGATTTTCTGTGTTTGTTGTTGAAATTCCGTAGTTTCGGTCCCGGGAAGCGCCTCCCGCAGCAGCAGACGTGTTTGTTTGGACTAAACCTGGATTAGCCGGAGTCACGTGATCCGAGCTCGGGGAGGATTCTGGGAACGGGAGGAATTAGGGAGGTGCCCCACGGAATTATGGGAGATCAGGGGTTAAGAGGCTAATCACTCACTTCATATTTACAACGACCCAGAGACGAGACGGTGAAGGAAGGAGACGACTGGACCAGGACCGGACCAGGACTGGACCAGGACCGGACCAGGACTGGACCAGGACCGGACCAGGACCGGACCAGGACCGGACCAGGACCGGACCAGGACCGGACCAGGACTGGACCAGGACTAAATCAGGACCAAATCATAAGGACAAAACTAAAATGAAACCAGGACTATTTCATGAGAAACTAAGCCTAAACAAACCAGAACCTGGACGAGACTAGACCAGGACTGGATCAGGACTAAACCAAGACAGGACTAAACAAGAACTAAACCAGGACTAGATCAAGACTAGATCAGGACTAAACTAGAAGGACAAAACCAGGATTTAATCATGATTATTTCAGAAGTGCATCAGGACAAACCAAGACAAAACAAACCAGAACCAAGCCAGGACTAAACCAGAATTAAACCAGGACTAGGCCAAGACTGGACCAGAAGCAAACCAGGACTAGACCAGGACTTGACCAGGATCAAATCAGAAGGACAAAACCAGGATTTAATCAGGACTATTTCACAAGAACATCAGGACAAACCAAGACAAAACAAACCAGAACCTGGACAAGACTAGACTAGGACTAGATCAGAACTAAACCAGGACTACATCAGGACTAGACCAGGACTAAACCAAGACTAGACCAGAACTCAAGCAGGATCAAACTAGAAGGAAAAAAGCAAGTTTAAACCAAGACTGTGTCAGGACTATATCCAGACAAACCAAGACTAAACAAACCAGAACCGAGCCAGGACTACACCAGGACTACACCAGGACTAGACCAGGACTAAACCAGGACTAGACCAGGACTAGACCAGGACTAGACCAGGACTAAACCAGGACTAGACCAGGACTAGACCAGGACTAAACCAGGATTAGACCAGGACTAGACCAGGACTAAACTAGGATTAGACCAGGACTAGACCAGGACTAAACTAGGATTAGACCAGGACTAGACCAGGACTGAACCAGGATTAAACCAGGACTAGACCAGGACTAGACCAGGACCAGATCAGAAGGACAAAACCAGGATTTAATTAGGACTATTTTAGAAGAACATCAGGACAAACCAAGACTAAACAAACCAGAACCTGGACAAGACTAGACCAAGACTAGACCAGGACTAAACCAGGATTAGACCAAGATTAGACCAGGACTGGACCAGGACTAGTGCAAGATTAG